AATATGAAGGTCAAAATTACAAGATACTACTGAAGTCTGCAACAATTCAGATATTGAAATCGCAAAATTCAACATTCTCATCAATGAAATCAAATTACGAAAAAATTCAATCATGCTTTTGAGGAACACATTTCAACGGCTCTTATGAGATATAGCACTTTACATTATCTCTTTATACGAAATACTAGATATGTCTACAAAGTTGTATACTAGTATGTCCTACTAGAAGCATTTGCCAGAACTGTACTAGACGGGAATTTATCTTGAAAATAAGTCAGATGTCACCCGCATAGTCCATTTTGGACGACGAATCAGAAAAACATATTTTGAGGAGCTTACACAATAGAGATGAAAAAAAAATTGAAATTGTTTTGAAGAAAACAGTTGTGCGCAATTTTTCTAACTTAAAAAAGTTGCTAAATGAATTTAAAAAAACGTTTATGCATGATCAATTCACCAAGCTCTATCAGAAAATATATAAATAAAACTAATATAAAATTCGCTCAATGTTTGCATTAATTGTATCGTACAATTCTTTGATTTTGAAGTCAAAGTGAAGGCCATAATTTCAATAGAAAACAACGCATTTAAAAACGACGTTTGTTCTGGTGAAAGCCATTGACATAAAACGACATGTTGTTTGTCATCAAACATGATTGTCAATAAGAGTAAGTCAATAGAATGAAAAGTACGATTATTCTCAGAGTTTCTTTTTCGAATCTCTTATGAGAAACAAATTCATCAAACGAGAAAAAGGTAAGATTGCCATTAAAATGATAATGGCTTTGTGAGGCAACATATATCACAAAGTGCTTTTATCATCATTTGCTTTGGCCGAGTTTATTTCTTTTGTTTACATGAATCTTATCTGAAGTAAAGATATAAGTTACAAAAGTTAACAGCAAGCTTTCACCCATCGAAACTTTCATATTGCAAAAGTTGCTAAAAAATGATGAAACCTTGTAGAATTGTAGACCACAAGTTGAGCTATCATTATGTATAGAAGGGAAATTTTCTCGAGTCTTCTACAAGATTTTAGTATCAGCGCCACCACTTTCGGTAGGCTTTAAATACTTTCTTGAAACCTTTTTTCTATTGGTTGCTCACAGTTCACAAAAAAATACGACGATGTAGCAGCAAAAAATCAGAAAAAAATCTGTTCTTATCTATGCGGATAAGAAGAAACATATTTGCGTTTGATGTTTTATCATATAATTTGTTATATTTATCGACTAACATCGTAGCAAATGAGTTGGTTTTAGTAGTTGTCTGCGTCCTGACTTACACAGACATGTTAGTTTTTATTGTTTTTGCCACTTTCATAGTACAATGCTATGGCTCATTTGAAATCAATTGGAATGAAAAATTTGACAATTCTTCAGTAGTATTACCAACAGTACCTGATGATGATATTTATAAATGTGTCTCGTATACGGGAGCTCATATCGATATTTCACATTGGATTAATCAAAATTTCTCTGATTATAAAGATTGTCAAACATCAGGTTTATATACTCTTAATAGAAGAGATAGACATTTCAAAGTTGATATCGATGTTCAACGTTCATGGATTATTGAAGTAAATTGTAATTAATATTATTTTTATTAATAATAATCTATATAATTTATTTTAGGTTTCAGCAATTATATTCAATGATACTATTAGACCAATTTGTGGTATTAATTCTTTTGAGTTTGCTATTAGACCAACAGAAAGTTGTGAAAGCAATGGTAAATATAATTATATCTACAGAAGAATATTAAATTTGACGTTTTAGGAATTAATGTTACAATTACAGAAACAAATCGATTTGAAACGTTATCTCTCTATTATGACGTGGGAAACGTAACAATCATTACTACACATAATGTTAGGTTATAGGTTCTTTACTAAAAGTTATTTAAAAACATATGAATGTTAGAGACTCGGTCGAAAAAGCCTGAAAGAATTATCATAATATGAATTAGAAACCACTTGTCGTATGTGATGAGTTGGACGCTAGAAACTATTGTGTCTTTTCTCTATTTGACAATCTGTTTCTTGCTTGTCAAAATTCAGAATTCGCCGCTGAGAGTACGATAAATGATCGATTTATTTGTGCATCGACATCATTAAGCAAATGTTGCAACCAATGTGTTATTTTAGGTGTTACTAGATAATAAAGAACTTTTCAACTGATGGCTCTGAATCCATGAGATAAATGCATCATTGTTGTAACCGCTGGTCTGAATTCTGGATAATTTTGTTAAAGAAGATTAAGAAAAAAATATATCTATAAACTAAAGAATACACCTTTTCAAGATCGATGCAAATATTAAGATGTTCTTGACATGAAAGAATAAGATGCAACAATTAACATTTCTTTAAAGTTATAGTTAAAAGTTAATTATCCATGTAATTACAAGCGTAAAAATATGTAAGTGAAACTGAGTTGTACAAATGTAGGAATGAATGTATTGGTATACTTACATAGATATTCATAAAAGTATAGCTGGCGCAGAGATTAGTAGTGGAGGTTAGAAACTTCGAAATGCTATTAAAATTTGTTTCAGCTTTGAAAACTTTTTAATCTATAAAAGAAAAGAGAAAGTGCTATGAAAAAATCTACCAAGAGCAAATTAGATAAATACATGCACGAAATATCTAAAACCAAAAATCAGTTTTTGATTCGAGATCGAGTTTCAGTCATGGAGTAGAGTATACAATACGAATGAAGAAAGATCTGTTTAGAAAGTCACGAAAACGATGTCTAGTATACAAGTGTACTACTATTAAGCTATATGGAAGAATATAGTGTTGTGTATATGATATGGAGTAATTATTATTGAAGAAACATAGTAAAACGATTAGCATGAACAAGACAGTCTCAATATAATAGAATGTCCTACTAAACTATTTTTCGAATTCTTAAAGGTTTAATACAATATCTAATGTAGCTCAAATGAGGAATCATGAATATCATGCAGAAATCTAAACAAGAGATTCATAGGCATATGATCAGATTTGAAATGGACAATTTGATAAGGGTTTCAATTATTTTTCAAAGCATTTAGATTTTCTTCATTATCTATGCAATAGAGGGGTCCACGAAAACTTGATTGTATCCCGTTGTTTTTATGTCACTCAAGCTACAATCATCTTGATACTTTAGACTCTTTAGTGTCGTTAGCTTTTTTAATGCCTTTAGTATCTTATGGTACCTTTAATCCCTTTAATAGCTTTAGTGCGTTTAGGATGTCAGTGTGGGTGTGGATGTGGGATGTGAAGACAGGTATGGGTAAATATTAAAGCAACGGAACGTCCCGACAAAAACCAAGGCCCAAATACCGATACTCACACACTCCCAACTTTATCTCCACCGCTCCGACATCCACACTAAAGAGACTAAAACCACTAAAAAGACAAAGATATTCTAAAAGGCTTATGGGAGATGTAAGAATAAAACAAAGCAGGATAATATAAATTTTTCGTGAGCCTATAATGCAAGATTTCTTTTTAAATAAAAAAAGAATTTGAAGATTACAGAGTTAGGTCTTATCATAGAATTGTGATCTAGAAAACATAAAATACTTTCATATAGAAAAAAGCTTGTTAGCGCAGCTCCTTTGGAGCTGAAATGTGGAACTCACGTATATCCTTCAACCATGCTATTCTAATACATCATTTGCAAACTGAAAAATTTCTTGTCGACTATAGTTGTTTTCAATAATAATCGCCGTCCCGAACGAGAATTCATTATTTATTTCTAAACTTAAAACTGAGAATGTCTTTTTCGTTTGAGCGCGCCCGATTTCATTTATAATTGTTGCTATACAGTCGATAATAATCATTTTTTTGTTTTTTTTTTAATTTAAAATTGTTTTTTTTTTCACCATCAACTATTTAATGAATAAGACTATTACCATAATGCAGTTTATGTATCAACACCTCTTACCACACTACTATATATCTCAATTAATCTATAAATGGTGATATTGTTTACTTTTCACACTGATAAAAAGATCGAATCATGCCTTCATATTGATTATATAATTCTTATGACAGATCAATATATATAACCACTCTTCATCTTTGATTTTTAGCATACAAGTTTTAGTTATAGAACAGTGAACGACTACACTATTAAGAACTTTAACAAATATACAATAGTTTTCAAATAATTTTGAAACCATTGAAATAAACCCCCTCCCATATTAGAAGCCCCCGGGGCTTCTATTAGGCCTTGCAAACTTTGGCCGGATTTTGCTGGGAAAAATTGAAAATTTTGCTGGATCGATCCTTTAAATGGAGCTTCTAATAGGGGGAGGGCTTCTAATATGGGAGGGGCTTCTAATAGGGGGAGGGCTTCTAATATGGGAGAGGCTTCTATTACGGGGAGGGGTTTAGTGTACATCAGTCGAACTCATAGTATTCATACTGTTCAACTCTCTTTTTTTATTGTTAAATAAAGCTGAAGCCT